GTGGAAATATGAAAATTAATAGGAAATTTGGAGTCTTGGGGATGTAATTCGCTTTGAACAAAATTCTGATGGTATGTTCGAAAATCTGAGAAAGCTGATCAGTTAAAAAAGGCAAACTTAACAGAGGAGGTGGTTCATCACTAATTAACCCATTCTGCTTGACATGAGATAAATGGATACTTTACTGCTACTGGATGAAGTAGTCAGTGGATAGAGAACAGGAGGATTAAAAAGAAAACAAACACAAATTAATAAAGTAATTAATTGGGCTATGAAAGAAGAAAACAACTAAGAGAATAGTAAGAGACTAGCAGCAGTTGTTACAGGGTGTGGATTGGGGGGGACTCGATCAGCCACCCTCAGCCAACGGATTGAAATTAAAATTGCAGATTGTGTGATCAACGCTTGAATACATGTGTGTAAAAATACTGAAGGTAGTATATTAGGAATGGATTGCTGGAACAATTTGGAGCTGTAATTAACATGCGAGAAGCAAAAAATTGATTGGGATTGCTGGTTTGAATTTAGGAGGTCAAGGATTGCATGCTTCCTTAAGAGCATCTGTGCCGTCAAAATTGAGTGGGAATGGGATCCTGAGAATCCCTACCATAAAGTAGCAATGATGTGCCCCAAATTATGGGTAATCACCAAAATCGAGTTAGGGAGATGAGATATAAAACCGATTGAAATACCTGGAAATGTACGCCTACATAAAAGGCAGTGCCCCATCAGACCTGAAGCTGTTAAAGCAGTTAAAGAAATTGTGAAAAAGATTTGGAGAAACAAGGAGAGAGACATGATTGTATCCCCCTCTTTGGAGCAGGAAGAAGAAAGACAGGATCGAGTTGATCGAGTTTATCACTGAAAGTTGCCACCCAGGTTGATAGCGTTGTTAAGAAGGTGTACGGTATGTTAGGTTTTATTAGTAGAGGGATTGAGTTTCGGAGCCATGAGGTCATGTTGCAGTTGTACAAAACTCTGGTGCGGCCGCACTTGGAGTATTGCGTACAGTTCTGGTCACCGCATTATAGGAAGGATGTGGAAGCATTCGAAAGGGTGCAGAGGAGATTTACCAGGATGTTGCCTGGTATGGAGGGAAGGTCTTATGAGGAAAGGCTGAGGGTCTTGAGGCTGTTTTTGTTAGAGAGAAGAAGGTTAAGAGGTGACTTGATAGAGACATACAAGATGATCAGAGGATTAGATAGGGTGGACAGTGGGAACCTTTTTCCTCAGATGGTGATGGCTAGTACGAGGGGACATAGCTTTAAATTGAGGGGTGATAGATATAGGATAGATATCAGAGGTAGGTTCTTTACTCAGAGAGTAGTAAGGGCGTGGAATGCCCTGCCTGCAAAAATAGTAGACTCGCCCAATTTAAGGGCATTTAAATGGTCATTGGATAAACATATGGATGACAATGGAATAGTTTAGTTTAGATGGGCTTCAGATTGGTTTCACAGGTCGGCGCAACATCGAGGGCCAAAGGGCCTGTACTGCGCTGTAATGTTCTATGTTCTATGTTCTATGAGTTAAGGAAGAGCCATTAGAGGGGTCAGATGTGAAATGCAAGTTTGTAGATGAGGTGCGGAAGTATTATGATGGTGATGCCCTGACAGGGTGGGCCGTGGTTAATTTGAAAAGGGAGCTTTTGGCAGGAGAGAAAAGAAGGATGTTACTCCACCCAGGTAACTGAACTAAAAACAGTTACTGCAGCCTGGAAGTTAGGAAGAGGATAAAGGGTTAACATGTACACAGACAGAAGGTATGCCTTCAGTGTAGTCCATGACTACATGATGGCATGGGCAAGGCAAGGTTATGTTATTTCGAGTGGTAGTGTAATCCAGCATGAGAACCTAGTCAAGGACCTAGTGGCTGCAGCTGTTGGACCAAAGGAGGCAGCAGTAATTAAAGTAAAAGCAACAGATAATTTGAACATCAGAGCAGAGAGGGAATAGCTATGCAGATAGTGCAGCAAAAGCAATGTTAGAACAGGAAATGATAACGATAGCAGCTGCGAGAGAGCATGAAGCCAAAAATGATGAATGGAACATTTTAAGTTTACAAGCAGCAGTTAGTTCAGAAGAAAAAGCAGGATGGATTAAAGACGGGGCAGGGTTAGGAGCAGAGGATATCTGGAGGAAGGAAGGCAAAGTGGTAGACTCCACATTCTGCCAGTAGACATTATGCAATGTTTACCATGGATTAGCGCACAAAGGGAGAAATAAAATGATACAGCTGATAGCTAACTGTTGTGGTAGAGAGGAATGGGAAAAGACATAGCCAAATTTTGTCAAAGATGCACTGCATATGCACAGACAGAACCAAGACAGGGAATTAAAATTAAAATGAGCATCAGCTCTGTCCAAAGGGGCCATGGAAATACATTCAAATGGATTTCATCGGGCCACTCCCACAAAGTCAGGGTAAGAAATTCTGTCTGGCCATGATTGACCTGTTTACCAGATGGGTAGAAGCTTTTCCCAAGGAAGACTGTACTGCAACCTCAGTGGCAAAAACACTGACAGCAGAAATAATACCCAGGTGGTGGTGGAGTGGGGGGGGAAATGGGGGGGGGGGGGGGGAGGTCCCCATACAAATAGATTCAGACTAAGGGACCCACTTCACTGTCAAGTGCCTGAAGGAAGCACGTAAACTACTGGGAATAACACATGGGTATCATATCCTCCATCATCCACAGAGCTCGGGCATGGTAGAGAGGATGAATAGAATACTGAAAAGTGCTCTGGCCAAGGCAATAATAGGAGAAGGGGTTAAATGGACCCTTTCCGTACCAGTCATTCTGATGGCCCAGAGGGCATCACCCTCGTGGGCCGCTGGACTAACACCCTTTGAACTCATGTCAGGGCGAGCAATGACACTCCCCCAGGACCTAATCACAGGGGGAGCAGAACTGACTAATTGCAAGGGACAACTCTGGGATTACATGAAATCCCTCTATAAGCATTTACACATACTTAGGTAGCATGGGGCAGCACAGTGGCTCAGTGGTTAGCACTGCTGCCTGACAGCACCAGGAACCCGCGTTCAATTCCACCCTCGTGTGACTGTCTGTGTGGAGTTTGCACATTCACCCTGTGTCTGTGTGGGTTTCCTCCAGGTGCTCCGGTTTCCTCCCACAGTCCAAAGATGTGCAGGCTAGGTGAGTAAAAGCTATTGTTAATTTTGCATCATGCAGGCTTTGAGCATCACTGGGGCATCCAATTTTCAGCTGTTTGGATGTCCATTTCTCCTGCACAAAAATGGTGATTGTACACTGAATTTAGTCTGTTGCATCTCTCATTATCCGTCATTCCTTTTTCACACATGCTTTGACTCCAATTAAAGCACAACATTCATATGTTGATTCAATTATTGTCTGAAATTTTCTCCAGGGCTATTCTTGATAGCTTTTGAAGCATTAAATTATCTAATTTCATTCTGTGTTTCATTTGCTTAAACTTAAGATGCGTTCAGTATTTGGTGCCACCTGTGTTAGTTGTTAAGGTTGAAGACCGAAGTAAAAATGATTGGTTTTTATGTGTTATGTACACAATACTCTTATATTTGTATATCTGAGTCCACAATTTTCGATGTTCCCTTTCTGAAAGCATAGCTCCCTTGCTGGGATGCTCTTCATCAAACATCGTTCACTCTCTGGTCCTTCACCAAAGTGGCTAATGTTAATAATGTGATCTTGACACTGAGCATTGATGTACAATACATTATTCTTATTGCAGTAGAATGAGTGCCATCTTTTCTTCTCCAGTCTCTCACATATGCGTACTTATATTGAAGTGAAGAATGTGAGAATCACATGCATCTTGTCTGAATATTCCTGCTAAGTTTCAATGGACTCCCGGCCTTGAGGAAGCCCAGCATGGACTCCCAGCCTCAAGATGAAGCCCAGCATGGGCTCCCTGCTTTGGAACTTTAGGACTGGAATGCTGAACTTTTACCTTTATTTCTTTACTTTTCTAATTTATACCTAAGATTTTGTATCTAGGTATCTTTGTACCTAAGATACCTCAGACCAACTTTGCACTTGATACCATAGTGGAAACATTTGTTTTACTTTGCAAATTGCAAATTGCCAGAGGAAGTGGTAAATGCAGGTATAGTTACAACATTTAAAAGATATTTGGACAGGTACGTGAATAAGAAAGTTTTAGGGGGATATGGGCCAAATGTGGGCAAGTGGGACTAGTTTAGTTTGGGAAACTTAGTCAACATGGACGAGTTGGACCGAAGCGTCTGTTTCTACGCTGTGTGACTCTATGACTCTATGAATCAATTAAGTATTTTTGACCATATAATTGTTTGAACCCTGGGGGTTCAGTTAGCTGCATGTCTGGTTTATAATGCAGAGTGACACCAACAGCACAGGTTCAATTCCCGTACAGGCTAAGGTTATTATGAAGGTCCCACCTTCTCAACTAGGCCCTCACCCAAGGCGTGGAATTAGAATTAGGTTTATTGTCACATGTACTCAAGTACAGGGGATACGTGAGTACAGCAAAAAGTGTACAAAGTCACCGTTTCCAGCACCATCTTAGGTACAAAGATATCTAAGTACAAAATCTTAGGTATAAATTAGAAAAGTAAACAAAAAAAGGTAAAAGTTCAGCATTCCAATCCTAAAGTTCCAAAGCAGGGAGTCCACACTGGGCTTCACCTTAAGGCTGGGAGTCCGTGCTGGGTTTCCTCGAGGCCAGGACTCCATCCAGTCCCTCCGTGGAACAGAGGTAAGTAGAGAGAAGAAAAAGAAAAAGAAAAGAAAAAGAAGAAAAGAAACAGTCGAAGCCGACAAGCTCTCACTTAGAAACCCTACTCTGCCACAGAATTGACAATCCTTGGTGATCCTCAGGTTAAACTCACCATTAGTCATCTCTCTCTAATGAGAATGCAGCCCTACGTGACTACATTATTTGAGCTGGATACCTGTAAATATTAGAAATTTAAAATATTTTATTTGTAAATAATTGAAAGGAAAAATTCAGTCCTCAGCAGATTTGTTTATTATTGTTTCCAATCACATAAGTCCCAAGTGTCCAATAAATTGTAAATATTCAACCACCTCCCTGCCACAAAACCATACGCTTTACCAAAAACAAGATTTTCAGGGTTTTTTTTAAAGAAATAACATAATGAAATTTAATTGAAAGAAATCAATTAGCAAAGACCGCATGAGAATAAAATCAAAATCAGATTTGGAAAATTAGGTTGTCAAAATCATGCCATTTATTCAGTTGATCTACTTGTTTTTTGGCTTTTGGGACTTGGGCTTTGGCTTTTGGTATTTGCTTTTCAGCTTTTGGTATTTGCTTTTCAGTTTTTGGTATTTGCTTTTCAGCTTTTGGGGCTTGGGTATCGGTTTTTGGTATTTGCTTTTCGGCTTTTGGGACTTGTTTATCAGATTTTGATAGCTGTTTCCGCAATCTTTGCATTTGCACGACTTGATACTGGTATACGCTACTCTGCTGGTCTTTCCATTTTTACATTGTAGGATCACTGATGCTTTTTCAGTCTTGTCTTCACGGCAGCACTGGCAATAAGAGTCCATGCGATGTCTTTTGAAGTCATATCTAGAAAAATAATTATATAAGGTGCATGATATATGTGTTGACATATCAGTGCAATATTTAGTCATTAAGCTGCCTTTGACAGCATCTTCCAAAGCTGTAATCTACACAAATTTAAGAGGGCAAGGGCAGCAAATGCATTGGAACACCAGCACTTGCAACTTCCACTCCAAGCCACAAAACATCCTGATTTGGAATTATATGGCCATTCCTGCATTCGGTGATTGGTCAAAATCCTGAAATTCCATTCTTAACAGCAATGGAGTGTATTGATCCCAGATCAATGGCTGTTCAAGAACACTGGTTGCCATCATTTTCTCAAGTGTAATTAGGGATGAGCAACGAATGCTAGCCTAGCTAGTGACACATCCCATGAAAGAATTAAAATATCTGTTTCTTGTGAAATTGTTGTAGATAGAATATTACTGCCACTTTCTGGACACATATTATCTGCTGACCCATATTGGCTCCTAATCTGACATCCTTGTGTTCAGCTCTCTCTCTATGACCTTGTCTCTCTTTATATTTTTCTTTGAACTCTTCCAGCCCTACAATCCTCTGAGCTCTCTGTTCTCTTCCGAACCAGGCTTCATGTGAATCCTGGATTTCCATACCATCATCATTCAGCTGAGTCAGCACAAAGTTCTGGAATTCGCTCCTTACACCTCTTTGACGTTTGCTTCCCTCTTCTCCTTGAAGCCTATCTCTTTAACCAAGAGTTTGCCCATCTGTCCTAATATCTCTATGCAACTCGGTGTCATAGGTTTTTTGGTAATTCTCCTGTGACCAATGAGGGACATTGTTACTGACAAAAGAAGCAATACCAATGTATGTGGTTACTGCTGTGGAATATTGTTATTCCTACACCTACTATTTCCTGTACTAATAAAATAGAAACTATTTCCACCTTTTTTTGTCATTTCCCCAACTAAGTTGTGGTTGCCTTACAGCTGCCCTTTTGCCACTTGGCAGAATGCGGCATCCCACAACTGGCTGACCCAACTGGGAAGAAGGGTTGCAATTAAGGTAGAGGGGAACCTGGAGGCAGTAATCCATATTATTTTCGTCGAACCCAGGCGTGCTCTCCTGAATCTTCTTTCCCCTCACAAATCATTTCAACACATCATTTCACTGTTGCACTGCCAGGTTTTACTGTGCAAACGGTTCATAGCTTCCATACCAACCAATAGGCCCTAAAAATGTCATCAGATCCCACTTTTGTCACCAATGAAGCTCCCAGCTAAGATTCAGGCAAACAATGTAGAGCCCGAAGGATATTTCTGGACAAAATAGCAGTGGAACGATCACTGTGTAGCAGATGAACCAACTCCATGTTAATTCTGTCACTTCCCCATTTCAAGCTAATTCTGGAAGTTAGTCTCCCAAATATGTAATCAACACAGGAAATGCTTAAGATAACCACAAGAAAAACAATCTCTTCCTGTGCTGTTCCATCGCGGTTATTGAAAACTGAAGAAGATACAAGTTTTACCGATTTTTTTTTGTCATTGTACATTCTTGCCATATTTCCACATGAGGAGACTAACAACAAATCCTCACAAGATAATGAGTCACTTTGAGCAGTCAGGTGTTGGAATAGGTAGAAGTAGAAATGGAAATTATTGTTTCTGACACAAATGGCTTTTTGACAGAAAACAATTATGAGAGTTCAGAAAGGCACAAGTAAAACTGAAGTATTTAGGCGATTAGCTAAAGGTGTAACTTTAAACATTTACCAATAAATACAGAAGCCAAGGTTGAACATTTTAACTTCGAGAGGAAAAGCCCCATGTGAGTTACAGGCCTGTCTCTGTGGGCTAACAGAAACCCCCAGTGATCGTAAGAGCCGGGCTTCATCAATGCAATAACTGCTAACTTTATACCCAAAAGGAAAGGAAGGTCCTGAAACACGCTCTGACACACTGAAACACACCACCATGCTGGCACACTGAAACACGCTCCCATGCACTCACACAGAAACATGCACTCATGCACGCACACTGAAACATGCTGGAAAATTGGGTGAACTACAGACCCCATGCCTGATGCCAGGCAAATGGGATGTCTGTAATTAAAGGGTGGTTTGGAGCTCATTTCTAGAATGGGTAGGAGGTTCGGGGGCTCTTTGGATTTGCAAAGTGGAGGGTAACTCAGGGAAGCTGAACACTTTCATTATGGAAATCAGACAAGCACTCAGCCTATCCTACACACAAAAGGGAATTTCAAAGTCACCTGGAGTTACCACATTGGTCTCTAGACTTACTTGCGAGTGGTGGCACAGGTATAAAGGGGCCAGGGAACTGATTTTAATACATGCATCAAATGTACACGTTGTTTTGAAATCAGGAGTGGAGTGACTATTATCTATTCCATTTCAACTATCTTCATGCCACATTTCTGCTGCATGATGGAGATAAATTTCCCTTCAAAGCATTCATTCATTATATATTAATTTAAATGACAATGAGAACACAAATTATATTTAGCCATAGTCAGATGTAATAATAGATAGAGACAGAAAAGTGGGTGATCATAGAGGAAATAGAGACTATAATGTTGATGTTAGCTTCTCCCGGAAGGAAAGGGTTTGATTTCACTGTCCCAGTTGGATATGAACCCAGAATTCAGGAATAAAATACATCTTTCAAATGCATTGCAGTAAATACTGCCCAGTGTGTTTTAACATATCAAAACCCAGCTTACCGTGTAACTGATGAACAATGCCCAAGACATTGCGTTGCTTCAAACGTTGCTTCACAATATCCCCTTTTGATTGTTTCATTAAATTTATTAACTTTGCATTGGTCTAAGGTAGGGAAAATAAATTATTGTGAGTGCTAGAATTAAAGAAGATTATTTAATCTACCTCAGCATCAGACACTTCTAAACTACAGTTAGTATAGGTCCATGGTACTTAACTGCTCCTCACAAGATAGTCCGTCCATACTAAAGTTGAGCCGAATGAACTTTCTTTAGACTGTTTTGAATGCAATTATATCTTTCCTTAGAGAAGAGGCACAGAACTGTTCACAGTGTTTCACCTGTAGTCTGACAAGTGCCTTGTATAGCTTTCCTTATTGTTATCTTGGTTCCCTTTGAAATAAAGGTCAGTATTTCATTTGCTTTCCCAATTAGCTGCTGAAGTTGTATGTCAGTATTTTGAGGTTTATGCACAAGGGCTACCAAATCCTTCTGTTCTGTAGATTTCTGCAGTCTTTCTCCATTGAAATAATATACAGCTTCTATATTCTTCCTGCCAAAGTGCATACTCTTACGTTTTCCAACATTATATTCCATCTGCCAAGTTTTTGCCCACTTGTTTTACCCATCTGTATCCCTCTGTGAACTCCTTGTATCATCCTCAGCACAAATCTTCCCACCTATTTTTGTGTCCTCTGCAAACTTAGCTATTGTGCATTCACTTGCCTCATCAAAGTCATTGATATATATTGTAAATAATTGTGGTTCCAACACTGATCACTACAGCACACCACTAGTTACAGGCTGTCATCCTGAAATTGTTCAATTTATCCTAACTCCAGCTCTTTTGTTTGTTGAGAAACCCAACATGGAATAGTGGAGCAGACTCGATAGGCTGAATGACCTACTTCTGCTTCTGCATCTTTAGGACGAAATAGTCTGACAAACCCAAAAGTAACAGGAACACTTTTATGATTGCAAGTTCTTAATGTGACTTTCTAAAAAAAAACACATTGAGCATCTTTAATTAGTGTCGGAGATGCTTCCGTTGTTGAAAACAGAAACTGGCAGGTGTGCAAATCACATGGCATAGTTGCTGACTCCTCTAATGCCCTGTGACTGACTGAAAGTCACCTGCAGATGCAACTAACAATCTATTTAAATACGTAATGTAGACTCACAATATGAAAGACTGCCAATGCAATAAAATGCAGACAGAATAGCAGTGCTAATAGGCCCGTATCCCAGAAAGAAAATAACATTTCAGCAGTGAAAGAAAGTTGCAAATCTTCAACGTGATGCTTGAACACGTATTGGAAATGGATATTAATTTGCATCAGATTGAAAGAAACTGCTGCTATTCCTTTTGCAAAACATACTCAAAACACACAGCGGAAAATATTCATGTGTTCTCCTGAGCAGATGCTATTACTTCCGCAGTGATTTCTGCCAAAGTTACGGTGGCTGATCAGAAAGAAATTTCTGGCAGTAATTTGTACGAACAGAAATTTGACTCTTGTTCAAATCATGCCACAGTTTTCAGCTATTCTGTTTATACATTCCACTTTTAAAACTTGCTTTCAATAAATATTGTGACAAAGTACAATTAAAATTTATGTAAGCACATTAAATGGTACCTCGTGCCGATCTGCATTCAAAACAACAACGATCGAGGTAAACTCTGTCAGACTAAAAATATTCAAGAAAATATTGAATCGTTAGTATAGGATATTACTTCTAAAATATAAACAGCCTATAATGAAAACAAATTCTTTTTTTGAAATATTGTCATGCAATATTCTTATTGCATTGTTATCTATTTTTCTTATAATGGGATAAATTAAATGTAAAATCATCTCTTAATGCAACAACTTTTTGATAGACAGAGTACATTTTACCTTAGATCTGATATAATTCCTGGAAATAATGTCAAGTTAATTCTTGAATCAAATCCCACAAATTTTTAATGAACATTTTTTGGAAGTTTTTAATAGATTCACAATAAATTTATATGACTTGCAATGACAGTATGCTCAATGTAATAAAGAATAAGGAACTTCATTGAAGGATGCAAAATAACATTGAATTGCCACTTTTAAAATCAAAATGCTAAACTTAATTAAGTTCCACTCTATGATCATAAGTTAATTTGTCTAACTAGGTTAAACTGGTCTAAGCCAACAGTGCAGGACAAGCTTATAACAAATCAGCAGATGATTTTTCACAGTGTCTGTTTTTATTTCCCATTGACATGGGAAATATGAAGAATATTTTAAATTTGAAACTAAATAAAACAGACAGTCAGACTCAGAAATGAGTGACAGTTGCCAATTTGCTACCTGCCTGTCTGGTGATGCTGGCAAAATCCATTTAAAATATGTTTCATGCCTGCAGCTGCTGGATGGGATTCTGAGAGTGTTAAGTGACAGCTGAGGTCATTAACTGGCAAGTTTGTTGAATAAAATAATTAAATTCAAGACATAAAATGTTGAGGCTGTTTATAAACACCAGGGCCATGAGTATATTTGGAAGTGTTTCTTCAATTAAATGAACATGGTAATAGAATAATAATAATCAGAGTAATAGAAAAGTATGTAAAGTGGATGAAAACACATGATGGTAACAATATACAGTGATCACTACATACCTCAGGGCAGCTTTCATCCTGATTGCAGGATATATTTCTGAGTACGACTCCAAACTCAGTACATTCATAGGAGATACATGGATTATTGGCATCCTCCCATGTATCACCCTCCTGTGAGTGAAAGCACACAAAATAACGATATTGATATTTCATTTCCAGGCCCAACTGATACTTTGTCCAAATGATTTAAGCTCTTACTCTATTAACAGTGCAGAAAGTTTTTTTAAACCATCAACCTGCAACAATGATGATGCAGTACTTTGCCCATACTTATGCAACAGCATAAGTTTATTATGTGACTGGCATAACATAGAAATAATATGGCATTGATATTATCCCCCATCTCTTGCCTAGGCAGGATAGAGGTGGGGCATTTTTGAACTACATTCATCAGGCTAATCCATGGCACAACTTCCTAAAGTTGGCAATCAGGTATATACCTAATGCTGGTCTTTCCTATTGCCTTTTTTGATAAATTGAGGACAGTGTGAGGCATGCAGCCAGACACTCTACCGGCATTGCTTTCTAACCCAGGCCTTATGGCTGTTGGTTGCGAAGCTGTTAGATTCAAATATCCATTGAAGTCCCTGTAAAGGAATCTTCGAAGTTAACCAAAGGGCCTTGATCATCCTGCCCCTACACTTTCTTCAAATCCTCTGCTTGGAGGAAGGGTATGATCCCAATGCCCAGGACCAGAATCCTGGGGTATCATAAGAAGAAAGCACCCATTAGTCATTTTAGGTTGTCACAATGATTTAAAATTTGGTCTGTTAGTAATGGAATCTCCAGCAGTGGGTGGCAACAGTGAACAAGGGCAGCTGGAGCAGTTAAACAGATCCTCTCTGGAAAAAATGGTGTCTTTGAGGGAAGCAGCTTCAGGGGAAGAAGTAGCAGACAGACAAGTGATTCTTCAACTTAATGTAAACTACAGGTTTCACTCTATGTAAATACTTCGTTGTTTAACCTTAATTTCTCTTCATGTTTGTGAAGACCTGATGCAAGTGGAATAAAGAATCCCTTCATCATGATCTTTGGGGCTTCTTGTGTTTCAAATATCATGTTACATTTCAATTTTTGAATTCCATAGTCCAATGTAATATCTGAGACTTTCACAAACTGAAATTGTTTTAAAAAGGTAATCAAAAGCACTGACTTAAAATGGTCACACACCCCACCTGACCACAAATGGACAATCTTCATTATGGATTAGAAAACAAACAGCTAAACTGAATTTAATATTTTGTCCCTAGACAAGTTTTCAACTCTTCTGCAGGAGTTTTGAAAAACCCTTATATTTTATTAATTTTTACACCTTGCTGAAAATGCTTGGAGAGGAAAATAACACCTGCAATTATCAAGTTTGGAGACAATGAACATAGGAATGGGATTACAAAAAGATGTTTGTATGTCAAGAAGCTGCTTTTGTCAAAGAGAGAGGAGATAGATTTTTGACAGTAGAATTGTAACCAGCAAGAAAAGGCTTTCTGTTGGTCTCAAGAGGAGAAAGCATCTGGTGACAGTATGCTTCAAAAAGAAACATCTGAACACCTAGAACCAAAAGGATAGTGGAAATAATTGCTACTACTGATGATCCAAGACATCAACTAAACAATAATGGTCTCCAGTAAAAACCTTACCCCACCAGGATACTTTAAGTGCTGAATGGTATGTCCTTTCATTTTCCTTTCATACTGGACTATCCTATTTCAACTTTATACTTGTGCATGTACACTTGACATCATGTCTTTCATAATTTTTTGGAATTAGCAGGAAATAAAATTGTTAATTCTTTCGCTCAAGGAGACCTTGTGACTGGCCTTACTGATAAAATAGAAATTACTTAACTACATTTTAATTTGGAAGAGGTATAGCCTCATGCTAAAAAGAACATAAATCTTTGCTGTAACCAACCAGAAAGATTGAAAAGACAGGAGTCAATTCAAACCCTCTCACCTGTTCATAACAGAATAAAATTGTTGAGAACCCCAGACCAGATTAATTAAATAAAATACAATGTAATTTTCCTGACCATTTAAGGGAATGCAATGTATTTTTTGTTCCATTGGCCTCGAACGTCAGCAATTGAACAAATATTGGAAGATTATTTTACCTGCAGCTTATTTTACCCTTAATGATCCTGGTTCATTGGAACTTTATTTGCTTAATAGGAATGGAAATCAGATTACAGATATTAATAAATAACTTGGGGTCATTTGATGCTCAAATGTTTTCCTTTTTGTGTTTAACAGTATTAAGTGCCTCTTTTAATTAAACTGCTTAACGAATATTCAGAAAATTTTAGCTGTACTAATCATAGATCAATGTTATTAACATAGTTCAAAACTGGGGGGCATATTTTTAAGATGGGAGGAGAACGATTTAAAAGAGACCTTAGGGGCAACTTCTTCACAGAGTGTGGTTCATATGTGGAACAAACTGCCAGAAGAAGTGGTAGGTGGAGGTACCGTTACAATATTTAAGAGACATTTGGACAGGTACATGAATAGGAAAGGTTTAAAGGCTATGGGCCAAACGTAGGCAAGTAGGACTAGTTTAATTTGGGATACCTGGTCAGCATGGACGAGTTGGACCAAAGGTCTGTTTCCATGCTGTATGGTTCTATAACTCTATGGAAAGCTTAATAAAGCTAATAAAAGTTGAGGTACTCCCTTCTTGCAGAAAAGAAAATGCTTAACTAGATCAAATGTTTGCTTCATTTTGCTAAGGAAGAACCTATTGCTGTAAGAGCTGGGTCTACCTGGCTATTAATCTGATACTGGGGCCATCATTTACAGGGAATATCACTCTGGATGCATAAGCCAGTTCTGTTCAAATAATAATTGTCACAGCTTCAAAACTACTGGAATGCTCCTGTTCACAGGGAACTGTGGCATAGGGTGAATATAATTTAACTGATCACATGGTTTCATGAAGTTGCACACTTAGCAAGTGGCCTAACACAGAAAAACCCAATGCTTAATGGCATCAATCAGAGCAATAAAATTGATCATTTTTAAAAAGAAGTCACAGGAATTTTTTTCAACCAAAAGTAGAACTTTCAACATACAGCTTACACTTTCTTTTCCCTTTCCTCCTCCTATTTTGGACATGTCCATACTTTATTGTGAAGGGTTGAAATTGCAAGATAGTGATATTAAAATGATCACAATCCTTGCCTTAATCATTTATTTCACTGACGGTTTTGATCCACTTACGATATAGAGACTTCATGTGTTCCCATGTTGCCAATATTACACAGCATGATTTCAACTTTAAGAGTTCTCAATTTACTTGAATCTGCAGCTGTAATTCCAGATATTCTTTATAGATTTACTTTTTTTTTTAGCTTCTTAATCTTAAAGGGCAGTTAATAAGTATTTGATTTAGTCTACAAATTTCTTAATAAAACCATTATCGGAGATTAGGAACACACCTCTCTTGGTTGTCCAAACTGGTCACGGCAAACTAGAAAAACCAGAAGAAATTGTTTATTAATATGCCTGTTTTCATTATAATATGCACACAATAGGTTTGATTTATTTGTAAACTAGTGATCTTCCTATGGACTTGCTCAATTCCTCAGAAATGAATTGGATATCTCGTAATTGTTTGTTGTAACAGGCTGATTATGCCACCTTTGATGAAAATAAGAACAATATTTTACAACATATCCTATTTGTGTATTGGATGTTGTAGCAACTCAAGGATCTCCACATTACTATTGACATGTTTATTTAACCTATTTAGCCACAAAGCCATTATAGTGTAGTGATTATCCTCATGCTAGGCATGAATGAGCCAGATATTTCTTGGATTTAAGGCACAATGATATCAAATGAGTTCCTTCACTAGAATGCAGTCGGATTCCACAGAGTTTCTGATATCCGCCATGCCCTGGTGAACTGTGCTCCTAAACAAAGACCCAGAAAAATCCGCGCAGATGTCATAAATAAATTCATTTTTAAATTCTAATTAGTACAAATAGAAAGGAAACTGATTGATTGTCCTCCTCCTGTCACCCAAGCTCAGTTGCAAAATGTCCCCAATTCGATCAGGCCTGAACCACATCATGGGTTCGAGTTCAAGCCACTTGTAATTTATAAATGTATGGCGTGTGCAGCCCCTGGGATTGAGGTCATGTTCAATGGTAAGCCAGAATCTAGGTGTTGCTATAAAATTTAAAGGCACTTCACTTTTTTTGAGAAATTAGCTGAAATACTATCTGGCAGCAGTGTGTGGAGAAGCAAGACTTCCTGTTTTAAATCAATAGCACATGAAGCAAGTATTTCTGCCAGAAGTCTTCATGAGACAGTAATTGGGGCAGCAAGATTGTGGGTAGACAAATATAGCAGGGAGTGACTGACTGCATTTTTAAACAACTTAGTATAACCTTGATCATTTTGTATTCCTAATAATTTGAGCTATATGCGCTATTGAAGCCACAAGTATAGAGTACCATGACTAAATCAGTAGTTTATATTTTGCAGTTGCCCCTTTGGCAAATGGAAATTGATAAATAATGTCCATGTGAGAAGAAAAAAATAAAATCACCTACTTTGACAAAAAGAAACACATCTGGATTTATCTTCAGATAGGAGCATTCCATTTGGACAAAAGCAGCCTTCTTCGAATGGAGTTAATACCTCCCCAGCTATCAATGTACTGAAGAAGAAAACATTTCATTCAAAGTTACATTTGTAACATTATGGACCTTTTAATCATATCACAAATAATGGGTGCATTTAGATAACACAGTTGAATTTTGTGTTTGGATAGATAAAACATACTTACTTATTCTTGCACTGACCATCTTGCTTGCTTTGACATGACCTGTACACGAAACCCTGATCGCAGGTATAATCTTTAGTACAAAATAATATGTTAGATACAAATATTGGCAAAGTACCTAACTAAAAAAGCAATCACTTTGAACATGGTATAATCAAATAAAGCCCTGTAAATGTCAGCAATTGCCCAGCTTGTTTGGCACAATGCAACTTGTACCAAGAGTAGTTTTAGCACTACAACAGATAAACAGATAGAGAAATAAATTGTGAGTTTATCATAAGCAAAGTTACCAAAAAAGAGATTTCACAATAATGTAGATCCTGAAGTAGGTAACAGATTGTAGATACAGGCTTGTATTTCCCGAGGGCTTTAGAACCCTGCTGTCAGACTCAAATGGGAGTCAAAACCTTGTAAACAGTGTGGAGCATAGTCCCTTGGCTGTGCTAGTCCTTGAAGTGGTCAATTAGTGACCAGAAGGCAGGCTCACCATTCAATGAAAGACATCAAATGGACCTTAAAAACATGACAGTCAGAAAGGAGACTTTCAAGAAGTTGGCCTGCAGCTGTTGTAGTAGTCTGGTCCAGTCGGCTTCCTCAATAGCTCTCGATAGGTCTTTAATAACTCTAATAGGCTGCCTTTGGTCAGAGCTCTGACCTACAAGAGAGGTAAGAGTAATGGGGGGAAAGGCAGGAAAGTAGAGCTAACGCCACAATCTATTCAGCAATTAGAGGAGGCTCGATGAGGTGGAATGGCCTATGGTTGCTCCAATTCCTTATGATCTTACATTGTACAGGTGACACTCCAATCACCATAAAATTGTTCCCGTTATGGGGCTTTGATTGTCTATGTAAATTGAATACAAAATTTTCTGACTATATATTTGTACAAAGTTGCAATCTTACGGTCACCATTTCAGTCACTAAAAATAGTTTGCTCAGAAGCATTTTTTTTCAACTTGTCGACTAGCTCCTGTACATGGAAGTAATTCTTTTGCATTTTTAATGGACTTGGGCAATATCAAAAATTCTAATACTTACTGCACACGCCATTGGTGAAAGGCCTCCAATCAACACATATGCCAACACTAGCACAAGCTAAAGCAGCAGTTTCCAAACTGGTACAGTCAATCGTAGAATTTATCACGCAGTGGTCAAAGATACAAGTCTTGAGGTACTTGTCGAGGTTGACCCTTTTTCTGCATTGTTTAAACAGTCTAAATAATACAAAGCAGATTACTTAAAATTAATTTAAAGTACATCATAACATCTCAGTTCCATTTCTGTACAGAGACTAATACATTCATACCATTTTCTATTACTTTCTATTGTGATTTAATTCTTGTGAAAAATATGCAGTCCATTAGATCGCTTTGAGCTGCAGATCCTAACCAGATCTTTCTGGGTTCTCTATTTTCCATTGTCTGAAGAGAAAACCTTTTCAAAGCTAGGGGGGAAAGCCAGGGGAGTGAGATGAGGTGGGTTGCTCCTGCAGAGAGCAGGCTAGGAAACGATAGGACTTCTATACTGTCACGATGTTATTTCACACGTCTGGAGCAGGGGGGACATGAACCGAGCCCAAAAATCGGATTCCATTCACCATAACATGATTCAGAGGCAGTGATTGCTGCAAATACTTGAACAGGCGAATGGTAAAACTAGGACTAATTGACCCTTTGGCCTGGCTTGTTTATTGCCAGTGATTTATTGGCAACAAGTATGGCCCTAGAGACAACTTGCTGATCATGGGCTGGTGTCTGGTAACGTGAAACATCAATCATTGGAACACCAGCCGAGATTAGCACATAATTCCAGGAGAAGGAACAAGTTACCAGGAAACAATAAAGTACACATCAGAGATGAGAGGTGTTGCTTTTAGTAAGGCAAGCCAGGGCAGGACTTGTACAGTTAACGGTAGGGCCCTGGTGGGGAGTGTTGTTGAAAAAAGACAGGTGTATAGTTCCTTGAAAGTGGAGTTGCAGGTAGACAGGGTGATGAAGGAGGCATTTGACACGCTTGCCTTCATTGGTCAGTGCATTGAATATAGGAGTTGGAATGTTATGTTATGTCTGCACAGGACATTCGTGAGTCCACTTTTAGAATACTGTGTTCAATTCTTGTCCCCCTTCTATAGGAAGGATGTTGCTAAACTTGAAAAGGTTCAGAAACAATTTAAAAGGATGTTGCTGGGGTTGGACGGTTTGAGCTATAGGGAGAGGCTGAATAGGCTGGGGCTATTCTCTCTGGAGGGTCAGAGGTTGAGGGGTGACCTTATAGAGGTTTATAAAATCATGAGGGACATGGATAGAGTGAATAGCTAAGGCCTTTTCCCCAGGGTAGGGGAGTCCAAAACTAGAGGGCGTAGGATTAAGGTGAGAGGGGAAAGATTTAAAAGGGACCTAAGGAGCAACTTTGTCATGCAGAGGATCGTGCATTAATGGATTGAGCTGCCAGAGGAAGTGGTGGAGGCAGATATAATGACAACATTTAAATGTGTCTGAATGGGTACATAAATAGGAAGGGTTTAGAGGGATATGGGCCAAACGCTGGCAAATGGTACCAGACCAGCCTAGGATATCTGGTCAGCGCAGACAAATTGGACCAAAGGGTCTGTTTCCGTGCTATATAGTTCTTTAATTCTATGACTCTCTAGATCCTAAGAAAGTTTAATGTACAGAGTCTAGTGTAGAATATGTTCCTCCGGCACCGAAAGTAGATGATTTTAGGATTGTATTTTAGGAGGCAGCTTCCAGTATTTCCTCTTAAGGGCCACAGATACGGCTGCAGGGCTTCTACTAAACAGGTCACAGCATTGATGTGATAGTTATCCTTAATCAACCTGTTCAGAAGTGTTATCACACACCTCTAGGTGGGACTTGGACCCAGGCTTTCCATTCATATGATATGCTGGTCTGAAACAGAAAACAACTTCAGGGGCTGAAGTAGGGGGTTACGCCTCCAATTTGCATAAGCAATAAGCTTAATGTCTGTTTCAAGCATTCAACACCAGCAGCAACCTCTATTCAAACTGTAAAACATTCGAGATGCTTCACTGAAATCTTGGCTAATAAAATTTGACTCTGGAATGCATAACGAAGTATTGTCACAGGTGAACAAAAGATTGGTCAAAAAGGTTCACTTTAAGGTGTTCCAAAAAGGAGAAGAAAAAGTTAGAAAGACAAATAGTTTTTGAGACGGAGTTTAGGTCTAGATAGTAGAAGGCTAGTTGGTCACAATCCTGGAACTCACTCCCTAACAGCACTGTGGATGTACCTACACCAAAATGTTGGTATTACTGCAGCAGAATAGATATTTTTCAAAGAATCTGTTTTGCAATCTTATTACACATCTCTGCGGTGGATGGGACTTAAACCCAGGCCTCCTGGCTTAGAGGGAAGGGAACTACCATTATGCTGCAACAACCCCTGTAGCAGACTATGAAGACAGCTCATCACCATCTACCCTAGGGAAGTTAGGAATGGGCAATAAATGCTGGCCTTGCCAAGGACACTCACATCCCATGAATGAACAAAATGAAATTGTAACTGGAATGAAAGTAGAGAATATAAGTGGCTCTACAAATCATTTTTCAATTATTACAGTGTAAGAAATGAAATGTGAAGAATGAATTCACTTACTTGCTTTGAATGAGATCACAGATTGTTTCTTCAGGTTTGCATGTTGGTGGAGAGAGTGGTGGCATACAAGGCATATTTGTAGCAGCTGATTGACAGTAAGGCTTTCTGGAATCTTGAACTCTCCAATCAAATGCAGTTTTGTGACAACAGTCAGGTGGCTCAGCCTTTCCATTTTTTCTTATGCATTGGGGTGGGGAGTGCGAACAGGATCCTAAAATCAAAAAAAAATGCATTACGTTAAGTACTGATCAAAGTTTAGTTTATCATCAATATTTAGGTTTTTTTTGTTTACTGACAATCTAGGAGTATCTTATGCTAGGCTATCAGTTATTGTCCATCGCCAAAGGCCTTGAGAAGCTAGTGGAGAGCCATCTTTTTGCAGACGTTGAGGTGTTGATACACCAACAGTGCTGTTAGGAAGTTCCTGGATATTGACACAGAGCAAGTGAAGAAACAAAAATATATGTCCAAGTCAGGATGGCATGTGGCTTTGAGGGGAACTTAAAGGTGATTGTTCCCATGCGCCCATTGCCCTTGACCTTCTAGGTGGTAGAGATCACAGGTTTGGAGGTTGTGTTGAAGAAAGCTTTAGGTATTTCTTCAGTGCATCTTGTAGATGGTGTGCGTCGCTGCCTCTATGTCTCAATGGTGGTTGAAAAGTCGCCATAATCTTACCAAACTAATAGACCTTCTCTCTCATTAAAGAGAGATGACTGGTGGTGGTTTAACCTGAGGGTCTCCGTGCTCAGGCAATGGGGTAAGGCTGGGGAATCCTTCATGGCGGAGGAGGTGAATGTTTGTGGTGGTAGTTGAGTTATCAATTAAATGGGCTGCTTTGCAGTGAATGGTGTCAGCTTCTTAAGGGTTGTGAGGGCTGCACTCGTTCAGCAAGTATTCCATCACACTCCCAACGTGCATCTTGTAGATAATGGACAGGAACTGCAGAGACATGAGGTGAGTTACTTGCCACAAACTTCCAAGCCTCCAACCTGTTCTTGTAGCCACAGTATTCACATGACTGGTTGAGTTCAGTTACTGCTCAATGCTAACCCAAGAATATTGATATTAGGAGATTCAGTAATGATGATGCCATTGAAGACAAGGGGAGATGATTAAACTGTCTCTTGTTGGAAATGGTCAATGCCTGGCACTTGTTGAACCATCTACAATGAGAGTGGTTAACTATTTCCCCTTGATATTTAATGGCATTATCATCCCTGCATCCAATCCTATCAATAAATAATGTTAACTAACTATATATAGTCAGAACACATACCACATTGGCCTTGGGTGTTGTCAAGGAAGTATTGTTCTGGCACCCTGATCTTAAAGGCATTAGGGTAAGCGGTAATAGTTGTTCGAATAACAGGAATAGAAATATATGTGCTGATGCCCAGTTTAGTAATGATAAATCCATTTGCATTGTAGGGAGGTCTCACATCATTTCCATTGACTGTTAACTGAAAAAGAGAAAAAAAGGAACTTTTGAAATCTGTCCCAATCTACAAAGAATTTGGGTGTTGTAATTAATATCTAATTTGAACTTTTTTTGAATTAAAAGGACATTTAAGCTCTTTTTTTCTTTGCTAATTTGGTGGGGTTTTTTTCTCTCAGAATTATTTCACACTGTTCAGGCATACAGGAGTTCTGGATGGTCCCATTGATTAATATACTATCTGCTCCCCAGAACAGCAGTTGAATTTGGTCTCTATTGCTTACATCTCTCTCTCTCTCTCTCGCTCTTTTGCCACCTGAAGGAAGTTTCACTCAATGAGCTTGGATAATCTTGAAATGGCGAAACCATTGTACGACCAACAAAATATTGATTATAGATTTACAAAGAGATAGAAGTGCATGGCACAGAAGGAGGAGGTTCAGCACCTTGTGCCTGCACCAGGTGATTAAATCATTATGAAGTACCAACCTCCTGCTTTCTTCCCCGTAACCTTGCATATTATTTTTATCCAAATAATCATACAATGTCCTCTTGAAGGCTGCAAATGAACCTATCTCCTCCAGGCAGTACATTACATGCTCTAACTACCGATGAGTGAAAAAGTTTTTCCTCACTTCACCCTCGTTTTATTGCAGATCATTTTAAGTCTATGCTGTCTTGTTCCTTCTATGATTGGGAACTGTTTCTCCCTAGCTATTCTGTCCAGCCCACTCATGAGTTTGAAAACCTCAATCAGATCTCCTCTTAGCCTTCTTCTCTCCAGGAAGTCCAGTCACAACTTCTTCAATCTATCATCATAACCGAGTTTCCTTATCCCAGGAACCATTCTAGAGATTTGCTTCTGCACTTTTTCCAATGTGTTCACATCCTTCCCACATTGTGGTGCCCAGAATTGTTCACAACATTCCAGCTAACATCTAAATAGTGTGCTACACAAGTTCAACATCACCTCCTTGCTCTTGTTCTCTTTGCTTCTATTAATAAAGTTGAGGATACTGCATGTTTTACTTCTCTCTCTCCCTGCCCCACCACTTTCAGTGATCTATGCACATACTATGTCCCTCTACTCCTGTACCCCCTATTTTGCACAGTCATTCCTCTGTATCCACAGGGTTCTGCTTCTGAGAAACCCTGTGAATGATGAAATTCATGAGTGCGGAGCTCATTTAAAAATAAGTTTAAAATAGGTTAAAAATTGCAGATACACAATTTTTGCCTGCAGCTGTTGATTTTTGTTGTTACATATATTTGATGCGGATAGGTGAATTTGTGATTCATTATTTCACAGATACAGATGATTTACTATATTGTCTTTTAATGTTCTTCCTGAGAACATGTGTCACTTCACACTTATCTGCATTGAAGCTCATCTGCCACCTATCCACCTACTCCGTCAACTTGACAATATCCTTCTGGAGTTCTACACAGTACTCGTATGTTTACAATTCTTCCAAGTTTTGTGTCATCTGCAAACTTTGAAATTTCCCCATGATCCAGATCATTAGAATATGTCAGGAAAAGCTAGAGTCCCAATACTGACCCCTGCGAAAGTCCACCACAAAGCTTCTTCTAGCCCAAAAACCATCCATTGACGATTATTCTGTTCCCTATCACTCAGCTGATTTTTGGATCCACTTTGCTGCTGATCCAGTTATTCAATGTACAACTTTCCTCACAAGTATGTTGTGTGGCACTGTATCAAACACTTTCTGAAAGTCCATGTAAGCCACATCAACAGCATTACCCTCATTGAGCCTTTCAGTTACAACACAAGAAAATGCTCATGATCATATATTATTCCTTGCAACATTATTACTTGCAGATTTATAGTGCTAGTCAATAATCATTTCAAATGAAAGGGAAAATATATAAATGACACATATTAGGAAATTCATGTATAATAGCAGACTTGTCAAATTTTAATTTAAGGAAATTTTATTGGGGATCATAAAATAATGTCAAGAATAATTATATTACAAAACCCACAGTTTGGACTAAATAGTCATCCAGGATCATAGGCCTTATCTGTACAATCTTGTACATAAAAAAAATTTGTTTCAGTAATTCCTCCAGATGAACAAGTTGTCAGCACAGAACTTTGCAAAGTATAACATAGAATTATTTAATTATCACTCCCTACACTAGGATTTCATCACATGCTATTCTGTCATTTTAACTTTCCACCAATTGTTTTCACTTTGACCTTTCTATCCTTAAGCTGTCAGATCTGCTGATTTTTTCCAGCAATTTCTATTTTTACTTAAGAACCTAACTTGGGCTGAAACTTCAGTGCATTACTGGGAGTGTCAGAAGCAGCATCTTTCATATGAAATGTAAAATTGAGGCTCAGTCTGTCTGTTTAGGTAAATACTAGAAATCCCAGGTCACTATGTTCTGCTAATTTGTACTACAAAGAAAACACTTGGAGTTCCTCAAAACCTTTACCAACAATAAGTCAGAAGTCACACAACACCAGGTTATAGTCCAACAGGGGGTTTATTAGAAATCACAAGCTTTCAGAGCATTGCCCCCTCGTCAGGTGAAATGACAAGGGAGCAGCGCTCCGAAAGTTTGTGATTTCAAATACACCTGTTGGACTGTAAGCTGATGTTGTGTGACTTCTGACTTTGTCCACCCCAGTCCAACCCCGGCAGCTCCACATCACAACAATAAGTACTCCATCATTTCTACCCAATACACAACACACATCGGCTGGTTATTTAAATCATGGTGGGTGAGTCCAGAATTAAGGAGGACTGTTAAAACATTTGGTGAGGAGAACTTTGAAACAAACTCTGAAGTTTGTGTGATTTTGGAACTACCTGCTCCAGAAGGCAGTGGAGACAGTGAATATTGTTAAGACAGAGGTAAATAGATTCTTGTTAGGCAGGGGAATCAAAGGTTATTGAGAGTAGGTGAGAACATGGAATTCAAACTCAAATAGATCAGCCATGGTCTTATTAAATGGCAGAGCTGACTCAAATTCTTAATTCTTATGTATGCATGTTATTTGGAGTACAGTCTTAAAGCCTCATTTGTCTACATAACAGTAATAATATTTCAGAAGTACTTCATTAGCTGAGTTGCATCTAAGATGCCCTGCATACATGAGAAGTGAATAAAATGGAAATTGGAATGAAATGTTTTCTTATGAACTGACAGAAATGTTTAAAGTAATAACAAAATAACTCCCAGATATTTTGAAGGGTAATATTTCACAGGTATACATTGTAGGCAGGCTGATCATTTGGAACTCCATGCTAAATCCCATTCTGCCATCAGGAATTAGGACAGATACTAAGCAAGGATGGGTCATTTTTGTATTCATATTATCTTCCACAAAACTAATGAAAGTAAACAGGTAGGAGTTGAAGGAATAAAGGGATCATAAGAATATGGAAGATGGAATGATGAACTGTGTAGATCAGAAGGAATAAGGCACGGCTACATTCATAGTTTGATGTCTCTCCATGGGAGTTGTCACTGAAAGTTAAGACAATGTTTGGTTTACAGGCAATGAGTATGTTAGTTAATGAATGCATCATCCTTACTTAAATTTTTTATTGGTTGGTGACACTGGTTTTAATTTATAATAAATTGTCATTCTAGTTTCGCAATATAATTGTGACACATAAAGTTCTTACCACATATGTTCCTGCAGTTGAAATATGTACAACATTTCCATTGTAAGAAATAATTAGGCCCCTCGGACAAGACTTCTTTATGAATGGGAGGCAAAAATAATTATCCACCAGAACTGAGAAATTGTATTTTGGAACCCGTTCTTCCACCAAGGTATATGTGCAGTTCTCAAAGAAATCATACCATATACCATCAAATGTGCTGTAATGTGGGTCTCCCCATATTTCACATTCACCTAGAATTAAATCAAAACAGAATTTCAGAGGAATATTAGTACTCTGGAGTAATAATACTGCCTGTGATCCACCTTACCTGGTTTTCCTTTCCACTAAACTATCAATTGAAAAGAAAATTGGCTGGAATGTGTGATAAGCAACAGATCCAGCCTGTATGTTTTATGGTCCAGACAAAGCTGAAGGTAGCTCCCAGCGTTTTAAACAAGAATTAAAATGACAGCAATTTGAACAAATCAGTGATACTCACAGTCACATTCCCATTTCTCACAACATCCATCTGCAGTGTGAACTTTCACAGGCTCAATGTTGTTGTTACATCTTGGTTTAATTAATGCAGGACAGGTAATGGGATCTATTTTAAAAATATCTCCTCTGATGCAAGTAATCATTGTGCAGTTTTCTTTCCATGTCTCCATGCACTAGAAAGAAAATTAATAAATTTATCGTTCTAATTTTGACCTGTTCAATGTAGGCAAATATACAAAGGTGAAAGTAATCAGTATTTAATTTCTTTTTCTTTATTCATTTGTGAGATGAGGGAATTGCTGGCCAGGCAGATTTTTTGCCCATCCCCAATTGCCCAGACGGCAGTTAAGAGTCAAACACATTGCTGTGGTCCAGAGTCACATATGGGCCAGACCAGGTAAAGATGGCAGTTTCCTTCTCTAAAGGACATTAATGAACCAGATGGGTTTTTCCCCCTACACGGATTCATGGTCATCATTAGACTCTTAATTCCAGATGGTTTTTATCAAATTCAAATCCCACCATGTGGATTGGCAGAATTCGAACCTGGGTCCCCAGAACATTACCTGGGTCAATGGATTAACAGTCCACCAATAATACCACTAGGCCATCACCTCACCACTAAGACAGGTTATCTTTTAAGGAAATGATCTTTATTCCATAGGAACTGGAAAAGTAGCTTCGCTGAATCTGTAAACTGACAAATTTTTAGCTTTCCAGAATTTTGCAGATATGTATAGTTCAATAATTTATTATTGCTTTATCAATCAATCATCAATCAATGCATCCATGACAGTATTGGTATGCGTGATCACTGCCGTCCTTGTGGAAATCAAATCCCATATTATTCGGAGGATGCCTTCCACTGTATTGTGTGGCATTACTGCCGTGCTAAATGGGATAGACTTTGATCAGATCTAGCATTAAAAGTCTAGTATCTAAGGGGCACCGTGGTCCATCAACAGCAGCTAAATTATATTCAAACACAATCTGCAAACTCATCACCCAATGTATCCACAATTGGCCATTACCATCCAGCCTGGAGATCAACCTTAGTCCAATGAAGAGTACAGTTCAGCATGCCAGCTGTACATAAAAAATGAGGTGGCAACCTAGTGAAACTCCAATACAGGACTACTTTGTGCAAACTGTGTAACCAGCAAGTATCTGATAGGGCTAAGTGATTACATAGACAATGGATAAGACCTAAGCTCTGCAGTCCCTAAGATATCCAGTCCTGAATGGTGATGGACATCTAATAAACTAACAGGAAAAGGAGGAGCCACAAACAACCCCATCACCATAATGGGACAGCCCAGAACATCAGTCAAAATACTACGCTGAAGCATTTGTAAATGTGGAATTAATACACAGATGTAGCATACCAAAAATATAAGATTTATTAAAACAAATATTTTAATGGAAATTTTATAAGATAAAGCTTGTTTTCTGCTTTTGTGTTGCAGATGAACCAGTTACATGACTATACTGAACAAAATTCATTCAGTTGACTTGTGCTGAATCCAGCTGATGTTGCATCGAAGCAATAATACCAATACTCTGGCCATCATTTTGCAAATGTCATTTTTGGCAGTGATCCTTGACATTCCAACAATCATGATTTAATTTTGTGCAACTATTAAGAGTACACACTCACATATCTATTTTGTCTTCTCAATTGGTCAGACTTGCTGTTGGAGACATGTGTGCATTTTCAGGATCTTCAGAATGTGCCATACTTCTTATATTTTTTGGAATAAAACTGAAGTGTCAATTAATGTCTAGACACAGCTACATTTTAGCCTTGACCATAAATTTCATAGAACTAGTTACATGTATTTGATGCCATATTTCTCCTGTCTGCTGCTACACATGACACTATACTTGGTAGTGTACAAAGATCAAGACAGAATGACACTCTGAAGTCTATGAAAATGGATGCAATCTTCCATCATTGGGTGATTACAATAAAACTTATGGTTCTATTGTGTCTCATCTCATCAGAAATTTGAACATTGAATTATTGTGACAATTTGCCAAAAGGAAATTCCATTGCTATTGGATTATTTCTCAATCAAAAATTTGTAACAACTTTGAAACATCCTGTAGATCTCTAACATGATAAAACACGTTGACTCAAGTGTTCATTCAATACATTATTAACATTGAATTGTATTTACTTACCTTCCTTGGTGGCTTTGAATTGCACTGACAAGATTCTACAGGTTTCTTTGTGACATGGGTTATTAGAGGCTCATAGATTGTAGAATGGACTACAGGTACAATGGCTGTGGTTGTAATTTGTGATGTTAGTATTGGCTCGCAGCACACCCTAATTCTATAGTCCAAACACATGAGGTGATTCTCAGGTGTCTGTTCATTGTAATTACAAATCAGTCCTTTGTTTATATCACAAGTAACATTATCATTTATTTCACTTATTGGTCGTTGTGGGAACTTGACAGCTTCACAAACAATGTCATTTATTTGATAAGGGGAGAAAGGACACAGTTTATAGCGAATGGTCTCCAGTAATTCAGAATCCCCTTTGTTCTGAATAGATGGTGTATTTTCATTAAACCAGGGTGACCATACACCATTGCAATATGGTTCTGTAAAATAAAAGAAGACAAGCGTATTAACTTTGTCATAAACAAAAACATTTGATCAGAAATTCAGACAGATGACACAACAATGTCTTAATCTTTGTTTTGAATCTAGCCCATAGTGAGTTAGAGGAGAATCTTATTACTCTTGTTGCTGGAGGGATCCTGTGTAAATGAGTTCAGATGGTATCAACTCAGTTCTTTAATAGGTATATCTTCACACTAAACAAGACTATTCAATATGAACTGACAATCTCATTTAAACATGCCATAAGAATAACTGCTGAAAGCAAATCAAACTTCAAGCTGGTAATGAAGGTAGTTCTACTCGGAGTTTGGCATAATTACACATTGCTGGAGTAGAATCATACAGACATAAAGCATGGAAACAGATCATTCGGTCCAACCAGTCCATGCCAACCATAATTCCAAACTAACCTGGTGCCACTTGCCTGCGCTTGGCCCATATCCCTCCAAACATTTCTTATTCATGTACTTATCCAAATGTCTTTTTAATGTTGTAACTGTACCTGCATCCATCACTTCCTCTGGAAGTTCATTCCACACACGAAACACTCTCAGTGTAAAGAAGTTGCCCCTCATGTATTTTAAAATCTTTCTCCTGTCACCTTAAAAATATGCCCCCTTGTATTGAAATCCCCCACACGAGGGAAAAAACACCTGCCATTCACCTTATCTATACCCCTCATGATTTTATAAAACTCCATGAGGTCACCTCTCAATCTCCAACGCACCTGTGAAAAGTCCCAGCCTATCTAGCCTCTCCTTATAGCTCAAAACCTCCATTCCTGGCAATATCCTGGTAAATCTTTTCTGAACACTCTCGAGCTTAACAATATTTTTCCTATAATAGGGTGAACACAACTGAACACAGTACCCCAGAAGAGGCCTCATCAATATCCTCTACAACCTCTACACAACATCCCAACTCCTATACTCAATGGTAAAGGTGAGTAGACGATAGATGATTGTAGAGGAGAGTGGATGATAATTTGCCATTGGATCTACATCTGCCTCTCCTAGATCACAATGAGGTAGGTGACTTGAAGGTCCAAACCAAGAGGTAAGTGGGTGTGATTTAATTGTCTGTATAGAGATGTGGTCACAGGATTACCAAGAGTAAGAACTGAATATTCAAAGATATCTGTTGTTTTGAACGGATAGGCAAAAAGGAATAGGAGGTGGAGTATCACTCTAAATAAAGGACAAGTTCATTACATTAGGAACAAAGGATCAAGATGTGGAATCAGTTTAGATGGAGCTAAGAAACAACAGAGGACAACAAATATTGCTGTAAGTGGTTCGTAAATCACCAAACAGAAGTGGTAATGTTGGATATGGTATAAATCAAGGAATTAGAATGACACGTTACCTGAGTGATGCAGGAATAATGGGCAACTTCAATTTATATATAACCTGGTAAACAGAATTGGCATTGTGCTGTGGAGGATGAATTATTCCTGGTGATTGTACAAGGTGAGCTTCTGAAGCAGAATACTGAAGAACCAAGTTGGCATCTGACATTTTTTTTCAGATTTGATGTTACCAATTGAGGAAGGGCAAATTAAACAACTTTGATGTGATGAGCTTTTGGGAAACAGTGACCACAATATAATAGAATTTTACATTAAGTTTGAAAGTGATATAATTTATTTTGAAACTATGGATTTAAATCAGAATAAAGGAAACCGAAGTTATAAGTGACAAATTGGCTATTGGGGGGATTTGGAAAATTCATAAATATTTTATAGTAGGCATGCAATAAATATACATTTTTCTCAGACGCAAAACTCAACACGAACCATGAATCAACAGAAGTAGTTAAAGATTACATTCAAGTGGTTATGAGGTTACAGTAAAAGAACTAAGGCTGAGGATTTGGCAAAGGATTATCAAAGAAACTGATAAAGAAAGGGAAAAGAGTCTATTAATATCAGCTGGGTGGAAACAAGGGCAGACTGTAATGACTTAGGTATATGAAAAGGGAAAAATTAGCAAGGACAAATATAGATCCACTAAAAGATCGAGATGGGAGAATTTATAATGTAGAACAACGAAATGGTGGAGAAACTAAACAATTATTTTGTGTCTGTTTTTATGGAAGAAGATACGGGAAAGCTCCTAGTAATACTAAGGAACCAAGAGACTTCTGAAAATGTGAAACTGAAAGAAATTAGTGTTAATTAAGAAGTAGTACTTGTAAAATTAATTGGATTAATACATCCCCTGGAGTGTTGCAGGAAGTGGCTGTGGAGATAGCCACCAATACATCAACTATCTTTCAAAATTCTACAGACTCTGCAATGTTACTTGAAGATTGGACACTAGCAAGTGTAATATAGACAGTTTAAGAGAAAAAAGATAGATAGAAAATGGAGAATTTTAGACCTGTTAGTTTGATGTCAGGATGTGATAAGTAGATGTTTAAAAAACAATATAATACAATACAATTGGGGAGAGTCAACATGCATTTATGTAAAGAAAATCAAGTTTGAGAAACCTGTTTGAGTTTTTGTGGATGTTATTTGTAGCATAGATGAAAGAGAATTAGGGGATGGAGTGTATTTGGATTTTTAGAATGCTTTTGATAACATTCCACAGTAAACAAATTAAAGTATATGGGATGGCGGGGGGTGGAGGGGGTGGGGTAGGTTTGGGGATAATACACTAGTGTAGGTTGAAAATTGATGAACAGGCGGAAAACAGTAGGAGTAAATGGTTAATTCTTAAGATTACAATCTATAATACAAGTGCAGTATCACAAGGAACCGTTCTGATGCCTCATCCATTTACAAGTTGAATCTATATATGTATTTCTAAATTTATTGATGACACAAAATCAGATGAGAATGTAAGTTGAGAGAAGGATGCAAGGAGGCTTCAAGTGGACTTGGTAGGACTGGGTGAATGAGCAAGTACACAGCAAATGAAATACAATATGAATGAGTTTCTAACTTTGGTGGAAAAGAAGTACTTCTTCAATATTGAGTGTTTGGGAAATTTTCATATCCATAGGGACCAGTGTGAATTACTAAATGGTAGCATGCAGGTGCCGCAAGCAATTGGGAAGGCAAGTGATATATTGGCCTTCATCACAAGTAGATTTGAACCATAGGAGTAAAGATGTCTGGATGTAATTGTATACAGCCTTAGTGCAACACCACCCAGATTATTGCATACGGTCTTCCATATGTGAGGAAGGATATACTTGTCATAGATGGAATGTAATGAGGGTCCACCAGACAATTCCTTGGGATAGCAAGGTTATTTTATGAGGAGAAGTTGAAGAAAATGGACCTGTAAACTCTAGAGTTTCAAAGACAAGAGGTGATCTCACTGAAACTTACACTCTGTGACAGTGTGAATATAGATAGGATGTTTCCTCTAGCTGTTGGGTCTAGAATCAGGGGATATTGTCCTCAGTGTAAGGGTAGGCTGTTTAAGACTGAGAAGAAGAGGAATTTCTTCAGATGGTGATAAGTCTTTAAAGAGGGCACTGGAAACTCAATCTTTAAGCAGATACAAGACAGAAATCATTAGACACAAATGACATCAAGGGACATTGGGATAATATGAGCAAGTGGTGTTGAGGTGAGTGAATAGCCATGATCTACCCGAGTGATGAAGTTAGTTTGATAGACTGAATGACCTGCTCCTGCTCCTATGTTCTTATATTCAGGTGGGAATATTAAATACCCAACGTTACATCTGAACAGATGGGTTGTGTGATTTGTTTTTAAACTCACCTGTTGTTACTGAATGAGGAATAAGCTATGTTAACTCCCAAGTTTCATTGGTAAGCTACTGGTTCATTTCCCACAAAGGTCATTTAGGAACTAATGCCTCCTTCAAAATGGACCGATCTGTCTGCTACTCCATGTGTGATGAACTTAACATTTTTCGGATCAGTTCATTTTCACAATTATTCATCGTGTGAAACATTGGGCTTATGCAGAGTGTAATGACAACTTGGGAAGGGCCATGACTAATCAAAAAATGACATTGTCAATTAAACGTAAAGGGACATTATCACTTTAACTTTCGGAATGGGAGTAGGCTCTGCACCGGTTTTCTCAAATGCCAATGCCATTTTATTTGAGCTCATCATATCAAATGTTTCGAATTTGAGTAAATGGGGTGGCCATGCATGATATGTTTGTTGTTACCTGTAATAGTTCTGATAGGTGAAGTTCTGGTTGTCGTATATCCTCCTAAATAAAACACAAAGTAATTCAATCAGTGATTCTGTGAGTTATCTGTTCTGACAATGACCATAACTCCAGATTTTCTATGGGAAAATTGAACTTTAATTGCAACAGAAGTCTGTTTTAAACAAGGACCAATACAGCAAAGATAACTTGGTTTAATTTCAATGGCCATCTCGAGAGAAATTCTGAAATGTCACACCTGTGCATAGAGTCAAGGAAACTAAAAAGCCTATAAAGGAACAGATAAGGAGAGGTTGACTATCATACGCCCTGTCAGCAACGTGCCATCTCCTGCAGTTATGTTTGTGTTTTACACTTCTAGGAATATACAAAAAAACAGTTAAAAGCAAGCTGCAGCCCTGGTCTGTATGTGTTAGTGGCCTGTCATTCTAGTGTACGGACTAGATAGGTTCTCAGCTCTGAGATCAGCCAATTGAACACCACAACACTGGAGGTAAAAGTGAGGGAAATGTTTTCATCTCACTCAGCGTGCGGCCAGTCAGCCACTGCAAAAAGGGGTCAGACAAGGGTTTCAATCAATCTACAAAGCCAAGAATCTTGAAACCAACTGTTCAAATCCCAACACTAATACTATCAGTAACATCCACCACAACAGCTGCACCCTTTAACTAACCACTCGTGGTGAACAATTCAAAGACTGATGTGTTTTTTTTAACATTTATATTTTTGGGCTCACCTCTTATTTCTAATTATAGTGTTGTTTTACTATTTCTTCTCATACTTACTGATTGTCTTTGTGTTAATTCAAGAAATCCTGATTATATCGGCTCCTCTTAACCCCATAAATTAATTTGACAAGGGAGGTGATTCTTTTGAAATTAACGTTGTTGCAACCAACAAGGGGCTGGGTGAATAACAAGGGCAGCCAGTTCACCTCTCTTCACTTGGGATCTTAACAGTTTGGGGTGTCCTGACTGGAAATATAACAATTTATTGAATCCCACCCAGGGACTTTGGAAAGAAAAACAAAGGAAAGTCAAGCATTTAAGTAGCCCACTCAATCAGTTAACAGACATAGTATAACTTATTAGAACAGGTTCCTATCAAAACTGTCAGATAAAGTGAATAAATAAACATTATATTTGTATTTACTCATGGAGTTGAAGCCTTAATGAAGTCACATTGCATATCCTTGTTTCTATAGATTGTTTACACTGCTGGCTGTGGTAAGTAGATCTTCTTTACACATCTGACACTCTACCCTTCCTGGTTAAGATTTCACTACAGTCCTTTCAAGTTCAGTCATCCCACCTGCACGCAGGCCATCATTTTATGCTGGCTGCTATCTTGCCACATGTTAATCAAGTGGCTAAGTCCAATTGCACTGTGGCCCCTATCAACTCCTCTGTGTGGATGAAAGTTGAAGGGCCTGTCCATACCATCCTTCTGATTAATGCTGCACATCTCCATCAGCCACTAATTCTCCACTGATCCTACAGAAGGTCTTTATGATACATAATCCTACATTGACATCTAGGCATTAGGGAACCCAGGTTCGATTCCACACTCGAGTGAATGTCCGTGCGGAGTTTGCACGTTCTCCCCATGGCTGCGTGGGTTTCCTCCAGGTGCTCCGGTTTCCTCCCACAGTCTAAAGATGTGCAGGTTAGGTGGATTAGCAACAGGAAATGCAGGGTTACAAGGATTCTGTGTGTCTGAATGGGATGCTCTTCAGAAAGTTGGTGTGGACTCAATGGGCCGAATGGTCTGCTTCCACACTGTAGGGACTCTATGATTCCATGAAAATCAAGGCCAGGGTCCTGCTGGCCTCTCAGATAGCAGCAGCTAGCTACTGCAAGCAGCACCAGCAGATGTGGTGGCAGCTTTTGGCATTGCACCCATCAGCAATCCAGGAACAGCAAGTGACCCAGGCTTCAGGTGAGGGAGGGTGGTATGGGGGTCATGAGAAAGGAGCAGAGTGAGGCTGTTAGGGCTGCACACATCTAAAGAATTTGGGTCACTTGTTTCAGGACCACCCAATGGCTGCACAGCAGATATTGTACACTCTGTCAGACCAGGAATTGAACACTCAGAGGAGTGGGAGACCCTGAGTTCTAGGCTGAGGACAAGACTCTGGACCCATTAGTGAGGAAGCAGGAAGCACCTAAATATCTAGCAAACAGACTGATAGAGCACACAACTGACAATTAAGGACAGTGCAGGCATGTATCTGTGGCATGAATGCTGCAATCTTAACACTCAGTGCACACTTAGCCTCTTGTATTGGGAGACTGGGGACTCTTATGGAGGGTCAAATCCTGCAAACTAGTCAGGCATTGTCAGAGATGCAGGCGATCATCTTTTTTCTGGGTTCAAGGATCCAGCACCACTCTGAGAGGCCAATGAGGCACCTACACTCTCCATCTGAACCTTAGTCCTCTTGGGTAGGAACAAATAATGAACAAATGGGCATAGAACATAGAACATAGAACATAGAACAGTACAGCACAGCACAGGCCCTTCGACCCACAATGTTGTGCCGAACTTTTACCCTAAACCTTAGGTCTATCTAACCTCCACCCCTACCTTATACTATCATCCATATGCCTATCTAATAGCCGCTTAAATGCCCCTAATGAGGCCGACTCCACTACCCTCTCCGGCAATGCATTCCACTTCCGCACCACTCTCTGAGTAAAGAACCTACCTCTGACATCTCCCCTATATCTACCTACACTCACTTTAAGACTATGCCCCCTCGTAATAGTTACCTCCACCCTAGGAAAAAGTCTCTGGCTGTCCACTCTATCTATACCTCAGATCATTTTGTACACCTATGAATGAATGGTGAGAATGGCTGAGATTTTCCATTTAATGAGATGGGTTACTGTGTCACCACGTATTACCAAATCAATTTCAGCGCTGGGGGTTAAGAACCATGGCAGCTGGGAATATCGTATGATGTAGAAGTCATTACTCTCAGGATATCATGTACAAACCTGTAGAATATTTCCCTTGTGATCACACACTAGCTGCACGTTTAACGAGTGGAACTTCTAGCAATTTATGATGGTTCCTTGCTGGCCCTCAGTTACTTTTATAGTCAGCACATAGGGGAAACCCGTAGAGGGCCAAAGCCTCTGACTCTGTTGGCTTAGCCATCACTTACCAGGTGTGTAGCTGATGGTAGACGTAGTTGTTGTTGTCTGTATCGGTGGTATAGTTTCTACAGAGCAAGAAAACATTTCAATCTGTTACCTTACACACTGAAACTCGTGTATCTGGTGTAAAAACATGCCTTCCAGCTTCATGTAGACCAACACAATAATTGCAAAAATCAATTTGTTTCTATTTTACCTGAGTCAGAATTATTTTAGCAGAAAGAGAATGGAAATATTTTATAACCCCTATATGCAGTGCATCAAGTCCTCAATTATCAGAGTTGCTAGAATTGTCAGATAGGTTTGACCATGAGGTAGTGCAAATCTGGCAAATATTCATTTTTAATGGACAGTGGAAATAGCTTACAGTACTGATCTATTTGACGTCATCTGTCCAAATAAACAGCGCCAGTGAAAATATCTGGCAGAAATTATACCATTGTCATAAGCAACGTAACCTCTGATTTTTGTTATGGAGTACCCAGACTATGCAGGAACACTCAGGTTGCTGTGGGGCTGCAAAGCTGAGTGAGGACTTGAAACATTGCTAGCAGCATCCTACATTACTGATTGTACCAAAGTATAAGGGTCATTGAATGTTCAAATATTTGTGACAGGAACCAGCACCATCATACTCAGTCACATACCATGTGCTGTTACTATTCACTAGGCATAGAGATTAAATGACCACCCATGTTGACATATGCATCAGCCAATAATACACATGATAGGAACTGAAATAGACCATTCACCCCTTTGTGGCTCCTCTGCTATTCTATAGAATCGTGGATGATCTCTTTCGAATTCCACATTCTCATCTACCCACAATAATCCTTGATTTCCTTGCCTAACAACTATCCATCTACCTCAGCATTAGAAATATTAAATATTCAATGACACTGCTTCTTTCTGAGGCAGACAACTCCAATGTTGCACAACCCTCTGAGAGAAAAACATTCTCCTCATCTCGGTAGGCACAAGCAGCAAGGTGGCTCAGTGGTTAGCCCTGCTGCCTCACAGCACCAGGGATCCGGGTTCAATCCCACCCTCAGGTGACTGTCTGTGTAGAGTTTGCACATTCTCCCCATGTCTGCGTGGGTTTCCTCTGAGTGCTCCAGTTTCCTCCCACTGTCCAAAGATGTACAGCTTAGGGTGGATTGGCCATGCTAAATTGCCCAGAGTGTTCAGGGATGTGCAGGCTAGGTGGATTAGCCATAGGAAATGCAGGGTTACAGAGATAGGGTAGGGCTGGGTGGGATGCTGTTCGAAGGGTCAGTGCAGACCTGATGGGCCAAAAGTCCTCTTTCTGTTCTGTAGGGATTCTATGATTCTGTCCTAAAAGGATGAGCCATAATTACAAACCGGTTCTGAACTGCTGTATAAAGGAAACCATCTTTTCCATGTCCACATTATAAAGACTATTCAGGGTCTTATACACTTCAATCAAGTTACCCCTCATTCTTCTAAGTTCCAGTGGAAACAAGCCTAGCTTGTCCAATTTATCCTCATAACGTTTTCCCCACTCAATCAACTGATCTAAATCCATCTACAAACTCTTCAGCACAAAAAAAACTGAAAGAACTGTGTATGGTGGAATTCAGAAACAAAAACAGAAATTGCTGGAAAAAGTCAGCAGGTCTGGCAGCATCTGTGGAGAGAAATCAGAGTTAACATTTGGGTCCAGTGGCCGTTCTTCAGAACTTCTCTCCACAGATGCTGCCAGACCTGCTGACTTTTTCCAGCAATTTCTGTTTTTGTTGCAAACTCCTAGGTGTGGAGTTTCCAATGGCCCAACAGTCGTTATTCCAGTAGATTTATGCATGGGGACACTGCAGAATCTTCATCGTAACAGACTCCGAAGAAATTGCTCGGGAAATTGCACTTTCCCCTGGACAATTCCTCTACGTCTGGAACCTTCCAAAAGTCTGCATTTAAATCATAGACTTCAGAGAGTTACAATGAAATTAAGTATCATAACTCCTGAGTAACTGTTAAACTGATCCCATTCTTACCTCACACGCCCCCAACTACAACTCACATTACCTCAGGGATACAGTTAAATAAAAGTTGATCTAGCTCTCAGTTATAATATTATGGCCAGAGATACAAACATTTTCGAAATAAGTAACTAAAAGGAAAATTGAAGTAGAAAACTGAAAACCATATTGTGTTACCTATACAGTAACAGTTCACAATAAACAAACCACTTGCGGAGACACACTTACTGCAAGATCTTTAATCCCTCCCACTTACCAGATATGGAGCTGGTGGCAGACGTAGTCGTTGTCACAATTGGTGGTGTAGTTTCTACAGAGCAGAAAAATATTTCAATCAGTTCCACTGCATGCTAAGGTTCAAATGTATCAGGTTTATAGACATACTTTTCTGCTGCATGTAATACAAAAACACAAAAACTCTGAAAATTGCATCCATTCATTTCTATCTTAGTCACTCAATCAGTCAACTCAGTGAACAGAGATTACAACTATTTAGTGGCCTATATGCTCAGTACACTGTTGAAAAAATAAGTGTTGCTGGAATTGTCATGCATACTTGTAAAAACACAAGTTTCAAATCTGAGTTTCCAATAACTGCAGGAAGCTTCTTTAAAATGGATATGTCAATACTGGTTCCAGCAAGCCAGATAGACAGTGGTTCTGAAAATATTTGGGCAGCTATCTTGGCAATTATACCAGGGTCATGTCCCCCAAGAGGTTTTTGCACCAATCTATCCAAAATGTGTGAAGATAATGGGAGGTCATCTTGTTCAGATATACGTGCTAGGAATCTGCCCTACCTGGCAGGGGTTTGGGATGCTAAACAGCTGGGAGGCTGGAAGAAGATACAATAATCAGAAATAGCAAGTTGAAGAGACAGGTCAGGATGGAACAGGACAGGGAGTGAGGAATGTCAGGTCAGGATGGAGCAGGACAGGGAGCGAGGAATGCCTTTTGGATTAAATTGCATCTATTTCAATGCAAAAGGGCTGAAAGGTAAGGCCGATGAACTCAAGGCGTGGATAGATACGTGGGGCTGGGATATTATAGCCATTACAGAAACATGGCTAAGGGAGGGACAGGACTGGCAGCTTAATGGGACTGAGGTGGACGAAAGCGGGGAGGGGGGAGTTGAATTTTTGATTAAGGCGAGTATCACAGCAGTAGTCAGAGATAAAATAATTGAGGGATCATCCAATGAGGCTTAGTGGGTGGAGCTAAGAAATAAGAAAGGGTTGGTGACATTATTGGCGTTGTACTATAGGTCCCCAAATAGTCAATGGGAATTAGAGGAACAAATATGCAGGGAGACTGGGGAGACTTGCAGGAGCAATAGGGGTTGTCATAGTGGGGGATTTTAATTTTCCTAACGTAGACTGGGACTGCCACAGTGTTAAGGGCTTAGATGGGATGGAATTTGTTAACCATCTTAAATATATGAGGGACAGGAATTACAAGCATTTGGTAAGGCAAGGACTGATTAGGAATAGTCAACATGGCTTTGTGTGTGGAAAATTCTGTCTCAGTAACTTGAATGATTTTTTTTGAAGAGGTGATAAAGAAGATTGATGAAGGCAGTGCAGTAGATGTTGTCACTATGGGCTTCAGCAAAGTGTTTGACAAGGTTCCATGTGGTAGACTGGTTAGTAAGGTTGGATCACATGTGATCCAGGGAAAGCTAGCCAATTGGATACAAATTTGGTTTGAAGCTTTGAAGGTTGCTTTTCGGTCTGGAGGTATGTGACCAGCGATGTGGCACAAGGCTTAGTGCTGGGTCCACTGCTTTTCATCATTTATATAAATGATTTGGATTGAATAATATTGGAGGTATGGTTAATATGTTTGTAGATGACTCCAATATAGCTAGTGTAGAGGACAGAAAAGAAGATTATCTCAGAATACAACAGGACCTTGATCAGATAGAGTTTAATTTAGATAAATGTGAGGTGTTGTATTTTGGTAAGGCAAATTATGCGGGACTTCTACACTTAATGGTAGGGCCCTGGGGAGTGTTGCCAAACAAAGAGACCTAGGAGTGCAGGTGTTCCTTGAAAGTGGAGTCGCAGATAAAGAGGATTGTGAAGAAGGCATTTGACATGCTTGTGTTCATTGGACAGAACATTGTATCTAGGAATTGGGATGTCATGTTATGGCTGTATAGGATATTGGTTAGGCTACTATTGGAATACTGCGTGCAATTCTGGTCTCCCTGCTGTAGCAAGGATGTTGTGAAACTTGAAAGGGTTCAGAAAAGATTTACAAGGATGTTGCCAGATATGGAGGGTTTGAGTGTAGGGAGAGGCTGAGTAAGCTGGGGCTTTGTTCCCTGGAGCGTAGGAAGCTGAGGAGCAACAAAATCATGAGGGGTATGGATAGGGTGAATAGCCAAGGTCTTTCTCTCAGGTTAGGGAAGTCCAAAACTAGATGGCATACATTTAAGGTGAGAGGGGAAAAATTTAAAAAGCATCTGAGGGGTAATGTTTTCACACAGAGGGTAGTGCGTGTATGGAATGAGCTGCCAGAGGTGGTGGTGGAGGCTGGTACAAATACAGCATTTAAAAGGCATCTGGATGGGTATATGATTAGGAAGGGTTTAGATGGATATGAGCCAAATATTGACAAATGGGACTAGGTCAAGTTGGGATGTCTGATCAGCAGGGATAAGTTGGACTGAGAGGTCTGTTTCTGTGCTGCAAACTCTATGACTCTATCCTGTTCCTCAATGGGACGTTGTGACAAATAAGCTTGATAGCTAAAGATGTGCTTTTTAACAATATATTATAATACACTATTTTTATGGACACTCTAAGAATCATGAAAGTCAATCCATAATTAAAGGACTTTACCTCAACCAGTTCCAAGTTACTAACGTATAACTTAATTTGTTAAATGCTGAGTTTGGAGCACAATTTCAGAATAATTGCCCGAATATCACAATATTAATGAAAAAAAAATGCAAATATTTCCAAAGCAAACATTTCGAAAGTTCTATTATAGAAAAGCGGAAGTATTTTGTTACCAACTCAGTGATAAAATATATGTAATCAAAGAACAATCCATCTTGGGAGATAGACATGGTGTAATTTATAAAATTGCTGTCACTTACCAGGTATGAAGCTGGTGGTAGATGTAATTGAAGTCGTTTTCTGGATTTGTGGTGTTGTTTCTATCAAGCAAGAAAAATATTGCAACCAGTTACACCACATGCTAAGGCTTGTCTTTATCGGTTTTAAGCCTTACCCTTCTGCTACATGTAGCTAAGCAGAACGAGTACAAGAATCTAGACACCTCCACATCAGTCTACTCGATAACATTATTTCAACAGCGAAAGAATACAATTGATTAATGACCTTTGCATTCAGTTCTTCAACTCCATAAGGTAGTGTTGCTAAAAATATCTTAAATTTGATCATGCTGCTCATAGAGTTCATGTAAATAATAGTTTTCAATATCCAGTGGAAATTCTTTTACACGTATTTTCCAACTAACTTGTTATAAAGATGTAATTACACATCACTAGAGCAAGTGAGACTTGAACCTGATTCTTCTGGCTCAGAGGTTGGGGCACTACTACTGCGCAAGAGCCCTAGAAAAAGGAAATATTTTCTGACCAATCTGATTCATAGGTGTCATTACAAACCTCTAGAGCAAGTGGGACTTGAACCTAAGTCTACTGCCTAAGAGGTAGAAACACTACCCCTGTGGCACAACAGCCATTCTAAAACTCCATGCAATTTTCAAGTCAACCAGTTCAGAAATGTTATTGCACACCCATTGAGCAGTGGGATTTGAATCCAGGTTTCTTGACTCAGAGGTTGGGACGCTACCATTTCACCACAGCCATGCTTCAGAAACACCTTCCTTTTCTTTATTTAACCTATTCTTCTAAACAACCTGTTCAGAGATGTAATTACACACCTCTGAAGCAGGTGAGACATGATCCTGGGACTCCTGGTCCAGGGGTAGGGATGCAACCACTGGACCACAGAGCCCCTTCCGAGAAACTCCTTACTTTTTTTTAAAACCTATTTTTCTAATCAACCTGTTCAGAGATGTTATTACACACCTCTGGACAAGGTGGGACTTGAACCTGGGCCTCTTGGGCCGGTGGGGGCAGACACTACCACTGGAACACTAGAGGGCCCAAAACTTACCGCACCTGGTATTCCCAGGCGGTCTCCCAACCAAGCAATAACCAAGCCTGAGTCTGCTGAGCTTCCAAGATCGGGCGTTTTAGATTAGTATAGCCATAGGCAAGAAACTCTTTACAGTACGCTTATTTATATTGGCTTCACCTGCCCAGATGAATAATTTACTCGGGAAGTTATTAAACTAAGATCACACAAAAAAAAACATTTTATTTCATCTTTGTGAATACATCTTAAATCTGATGTGCAATCTGGGTCTATAAGTGTTCATAAGAATGAGAGAATGAGGGTTGGTCCCACTAAACCATACGACATTTTGAAGGGGTTTGATAGATAGACACTATGATGTTGTTTGCCTAGCTGGAGAATCCAAAATACAGGGACCTGGTCTCAGTAATTTCTAATGTCAGACATTCATCTTACTTTTATTGGTAAATTGATCCTTTGTAGATGTAAAACTTACTGAAATAGGATAGATAAACTTTAATGGCTTTTGTACTCAAAAGACAATTTCTTCATGCATAATTATCATTGCATAAACTAGAGTGAGATAGATTGGCTACATTTCTTTCTCTCATTCCCTGATATTACTTTACCTCCTCAATGTTGGCATTGAGGGAAAGATATGTTTGATAATTTACAATGTGTTATTTACAAAGGATATATGCTATAACATTGTCTTCTCACATGGAAATATACATACCAGCTGCAACAATCAAGAATACAGGGGTGGAAAATATAAGTTACTCGCTAATTGATGCTAAATTCCTAATATACACGTCCTTTCTACTTAATGTTAATTTCGTGAGTACAATTTTCTAAAAGCTACCCTGAATTACAACATAATGACCAGTGATACAAACATTTTCAGAGCAATCAGAAAGGAAACACTGCCTTTCCTTACTTACACATTAATGTAAACAAATTTGAAATCAACGACCGTTTGTGCAAGGTGTAAAAGCTTTGTCACTTACCAGGGATGTAGTTTGTGAAAGGTGTAGTTGTAGTTGTAGTCGTTGTACTGGCTGGTGTTTCTGCAGAGCAGGGAAAACATTTCAATCTGCTGAACTGCACCCTGAGGTTCCTTCATTCTAATCAAAACCTGACACAAATTTCTGCTGCATGTTCTAAAGAATTGTAAAATTACAACCTGTACATTTCTATCTTCGTCTAATCTATCACGTCTCAGCAGAGAGAGAACAAAGCAGCTCAATGGCCCTTGCTTTCTGGAAGTCAGTAGGTCAAATACAAGCTTGGTTGCAACTGCCATGTAGATTTGATTGCGATCATATTGGAATTGCTGCAAACATCAGTTTTAAATTTCTTGATCATAGAGTGGATCCATATTTAGTGGAGTTCTCTGAATAAACAGTACATCGAAAAAGAATTGTACAGCAATCACTTGCAATCGTACCAGGGTTTACATGTCCAATCGTGCATTGACAGTGTCCCTGCCTCTGGACAAGAAGTCTCAGGTTCAGGTTCCACTGCTCCAAAAGTGAATAGGTTAACGAGGAAATACCTCACTATGCCTTCCAACTCTGAGTTGATCTCCGTGTTCAGTGTCATTTATTAATCACAGGAAGCTGAACCATCATACTGAACCACACGCATTGCTACTGTTGCTGTTCATCTGGAATAAAGTTTACAATGCTGGCTATCTCAACCTATGAATTAGTTACTTTCTTGAGACAGCAGATTATCATGCAGAAGACCCTTAGACAGGGAAGGTTGAAGATGGCACAGCTATTCTAAATTTGATGTATTGTCACATAGACCTGAGATAATTTATTGCATTCTAGTGGCATAGTTTCGCCCCAAGCGGTGCTTTTAAAATATCAACACAGCATAGTATTTGACTGTGCGACTGATTTATCTTTTTCACATCATCCTAAAGTTCATTGTGGATTACGTTCTACTGCCTTCCAGTGGTGAAGGAAAATTAAATTCTACAAATGCGCCTACACAACTTTGTAATAGGCATCAAAACAAAAACTGATAAGTTAGAAGTTTAATGTAGTTACAGCACAGAATGAAAGAATCTAAAGATACTGTTGTATGGACTTTAAGAACTACATAATCCTTTTTAACTTTTATGACTCATGAATGTACCAACTGAATATATTTAAATAATTTTAAATAATTTGTAAATACCAAGGATATCTATCTACTTAAGCTGCACACAGTTTGTACACATTTATAAGTATTGCCCACTGTGTGCTTCTCTTAATTAATTAATCTTCTATTAATTTGATATTGCTTTGGTTAAAGTTATAATTTGAAATCTATTTTTAAAAAGTAAAATAGTGATTGCAAATACAACAGCCACAGTAAAACATATCCAGCAGGAGGCCATCAAAAAACAGTCAAATTAAAAGCAATGATCAAATCAACAACACACAGATGCAGTAAGATAAATGTCTAATTTTATTAGGAATACAGACTAAATAAGCAAAATCTGAGAGACTGAGCTACTCATTTTTCTACCCTGAAAGAATGGATATCAGGAGCTGACCACGCATCACCTTGTCAATCTAAATTCAATCATGTACTGCCTGGATCAATCAAGGTTCAGGGATGTTATTGATCAGGCTCTGGTCATGATTTGGAAAGGATTAAGAAGGTTCACTTTTCAGTGACACAGTGTGCAGAGAGAAGCCAAAAGAAGAACTTCTGAAGAGGCAACACACCCAGCCAATAGAGGATTGGTATTTCATTGTAAATCTGCTGAGTCTATTGCCTTGTAAAGTGTCCTTTCTGCTCTATTGTTTTGATAAGGTAATACATTTGTGAAACATGTCTAAAAACACTCATAGCAAGAATAGTTTTGCACTTGGTCAGAACCAGTGTCTGACAATTGATGTTACACTGGATTTCAGAATCGTAGAGCAATGTATCAGGTTTGAAGACAATGAGGAATAGCTAGGAAGGGTTTTACAGCTGGCCCTGCATGATAGAATGAGACAGACTGCTCGCATGACCTTCTCTCATTCCTTGATATTGTGAAACATTCTCAGTGTCGGCAATGTGTGACAATTATTTCTGATAACTATAAATATGTCATTTCAAAACACTATTAACATACTTCTCTACTCTCGATGATGATTCACAGATGCAGGGCAAATAGGAGAACATAGTGTGACAGTTAAACAGCAACTAATCAACCAACTATCATCAACTTCTGATGCACACTCCAGTTCCAATAAAGACCTATGTCAGGGACACAATTTCACAACAAGTAATTCCCTATAACTTTCAGCATAATGACCAAAGTTACAAGCAGTTTTCCAGTACAAATGGAAGCCAGGTTTTGTTACCTACTCAATGACAGACCACATGGAGTTACAAAGCAATCTCCCCATGGAGAGGATTTGGGGGCAGAGAATAAAACAACTGTTACTTACCGGGTAAGTAGACACTGGTTGATGTAGTTGTAGTCCATATCGGTTGAGTAGTTTCTGTAGAGAATGGGAAAAAATTTCAATCAGCTACAATGTACATCGAGGCTGTTGTAGTTAGAATAAAATTTGATCACTAACTTTCATGCAACAGCATTAGCTGAGCACAGAGGTTGAAATTTATGCACTTCTGACTGCTCAATAAAAGTAGTTTAAGTCTAGTGGATGTAGTTTTTTCCATGGCCCTTATAATTGTTGAAATGATGTCCAATATGAAACTGCTATGGAAACTGTCATAGAGAATCAATCGCCTTGATAATGGAGTTCCTGCAAACATTAGTTTTCAATCAACAGTCAAACAATGAGACACTCATCCACATTGACCTTGCCTGATCCAGATAAACAATGGAATTGAAAATATCAGGACAGTAATCCTGTCAATCATACAGGATTCATGCCTCCTAAAGCCATCCAATGCTTTTTGGACATTTGCTGGGATGCCTCACCCAGGGCAGTAAAGCCTTCAGGACAACCAGGTGTTCAGTAGAATGGCAAAATTTGGAAGGATAGGTGACGGCAAAAAATTGAACACACTAGTCATGACACTGCATCATTGAATAAAGTTCAGCAGGAGACATGAAAGGTCCATAACTCCTATTATAAAACCATTTATACTAAGATTCATGCACACTTCATGTATTTACATTGTAGTTTGCAAATATCATATTCCTTATTCTGTTTATGTGGCAATTTTAAAGTTTGTACATTTACATAACTAGTCCAAAGTTGAGAGGTGGTAAATACTATCAAAGAAAATAATGTAAAACTATCTAAGAAACACACTTTCTAAATGACCATTGATTGTGCAAACTGCACATGAAAGTTGTCTTGTATCTGTTGTAGGAAAATGCAATGGCCCTGATTTTTCAACGTTCAATCAGTTCTGAAGCACAAATGGGAGTTGATGGGAATTCCCATCATGTCAAAGTTTGAAGTAATTGCCGGGAAATTTTCAATGCCACCTGAAACCCTACAAAACTGTTTGTTTAAATCCAGAAAAGTAGACAAAGGGAAAATGGAGTTGGAAGCAAGAAAAGGACAACTCATCCTCTTACCTTGCCACTTTATTTAATAAATTCAGAAGACAGCATTGGGGAAGAAATCAAATTGGCAACAACGATTCACGAAGAGGTAAAAGATAAATTGTGCTACGACTGAGGATGCAAGTCAGCAATCAAACAACTGTCCTCTCAAGTTCAGCATCAAACACCAAGGCAACTCTAAGGACTTGTTAACCCTGTAACCTTTATTCTACAAGTCTACATCAGAAACTCTCCCCTTTAGACATATCATCTGCATTTCTGCATCTGTTTGATGTCACTTATTCATTACTTCTTTTTCAGGGATAGCAGGTACTAAGATTAGGCTCTTTTGCATACAATAAACTCTATTATGAGGTTCCTTCATATTCCAAAAAAACTATGTTTTAATTGAAATATGATTGCTGCATTACAAAAGAAAACGAAAATAGTTGTTGAAATTTACTGCAAGGAGTTTAAAAGATGGGAGCTGGTGCCCCTCTTCACTGACTCATAAAACCCAAAACAGGGCCTACGAGTTCTAACAGTTTTTTGAGTAAAAATAATTTTCGTTTGTGCATAATTATCAACTTTACCTGGAATGGTGGTTGTAGAGGTGGTTTCTGGTAGATTTGTTGTTGTCCATT